CATCGAGGGATGTTATTTCAGAAGAAGTTTGATCCGTTCAAAACAGATTTTATTTAATCTGATATCTTGAAAAAGAGTTATTAAATCCTACTCCATCTTTGTTTTTCAATCATTTAACTGGTAAAAATAAGAAAATTTTCAGCAATTGTGAAATAGGAATCGTATCTTGGTCGCCTCTTGGTCGGCTCTACCCTAGAGTATGCCGAATCGGTAGCAATAATGAAAGGGCAGATAATAATAAAAATTGATAATTGAGAAAGATAAGTTGGAATAGAAGTAGATTTTAAAAGGATGATTAATGATCATGCAGTTATTGGTGAAACAGAAGAACGACGTAATAATATTTTTTTCGGAATAAAACAAAGTATTGTAAAGTGAAATGAAAGGACTAAATGAGATGTCTCGAGTAGTGACCGGCGTGACTGCCGTGACTATCAGTGAGTCACGGTCACGGTCAGTCACGGGAACTTTCTCGAAATTTTGGAAATCCCTGAGGGGGAGTAAGGGGACCTTCGCGAAGCTACCGTCTCCCACCCGCTCATCAGTTTTTATGAATAATTTGGAAGTTTCTAGTATTCATGATTTTGGAAACTCCTGAGGGGAAGCACGGACACCTACGCGTAGCTACCCTCCTCCGATCATCACTTTTAATAGCAAACAGAACCCTAGTCTCAATCCTGTTCATTCCTTTAGAAATTTTGCAAGGATCTGTCAGGATTCTAAATCTCCAAGATCTTATCAAGTTTTCCTCAGGATCCCAGCTCAATTCCTGATAATTCCTGCTGCCGGGATTTCTCACAGTTATACAGGATCCTGTTTAGGATTTCTTTCCGTATCTGACCAGATGTGTTTGTAGATAATGAATACAAGATCCTTCAAGGATTCATTCATGATCCTGCTTAGGATCCTAACAGGGATAATGGAGAGGATTTTCTCAAGATTTTATCAAATTTTAGACAAGATCTGATGCGGATCTTGATACAAGGATCCAGTCAACTTTTGCAGCTAAAACTGAGGAGCGTCGCAACAAAAAGTCAACAAGAGAGCATATCAGTGAATGTTCTTGTCAGTTAATACAAGTAGAACTTCTGTTCATACCCACAACCACATCTTGTTTTCTAAATTATTCCAGGTTAAACAACAATGGTAACCTGGTCAGAGTCCTGATGTAATCCTTTTTCGAATCCTGCTGGGATCTTGAAATTCCGTGGCTACACACTTCTTTCAGGATTTCATCGTTTCCTCAGGAAAAAAGAGTGAATTCTGGAAAGATGCTGACTGAATCCATAAAGAACCTGGTACGGAAACATCAAAGATTTTCCCTAGGGAAGCTTTGCAATTGCTCTTTCTGGAAAGGTTTTTTTCATGTTGAGAAACCAGAAAGAAGGGCCGTGACTCACGATCACGGTCACGGTGAGCCCAGCCCGTGACCGTGACCGTGATCAACCCCTCGTGAACGTGACGTGACCGTGACCAAAAAAGTTGGTCACGCCGGACACTAGTTGTGTCATTTGTTTTGTAAAATGAAATTTCGAAATTCACCTTAACCGGATAAGTTAATGGTGGACCATTGTATTTAAAAAATTTACCACCATGTTTACGTTGTCCGCCTAATTTGATCAACACATATGGTTGACCATCAGGTACATCATGCACATCACGTACAATTTCCATAGTTGTTCCTTCGGCCATTTGGATTCGTTTTGATCAGAAAAACTTTTGTAATTTACTTGTAAAAATTAAATCTATACAAAAAAACAATGTATATATATAAATGTATAAGAAAATTCTTACACACTTACAGTTTGTTATTTAAAACGACGATGTTTGTTTAATATGATAAGTTAACGAATTCTAAATGAGATAGAGAGAAAATATTAAATGTTTTCGATAACAATGTAAACATCACATGTGATTCATAATAGAATAGAAAAGAAAGAAAACATATAGATACCTTGATAATTCGATACATATAACGCATATTCTGTTTTAACAGCTATTCATACATAAGATAATGCAAATAATGTTTGAACAATTCTATAAGTATAGATGATAATAATCGATAAGAATAAATTGATTAACCATCTTCTTGTGGCTTATTACAATAGGACGAAATATCATCCTCTGAGAATTACAGTTCATCCTATATTATGGATGTCATGAGACAACTCGTCTAATAAAAAGATTTATGAAACATGATCTAAACGCACTGCGGAGCAAATAGAAGTGAAAAA